TTCTTATTTACTAGTCGGCTAATCACTCTCTAGTCTACTTTAATCGACTCTTAGACTCGAAAGGGGAGGAGTCGGACGAAATAGGCTCGCATGAACTAGGCTTGTTCGTAAGTGTCTTGCCTCGGCGTTAAATGAATTGTTAACCTATCGTTCAAGCTTGTTCTCTTGTTAAGAAGAGTTATTGAGGATGAATACTTGAACGATAGGTTATTCAAATAACTTAATCGAACAATCACTTTCCCAATAATTGTACTTCGAACCAAAACGGATGTCCCCGACTCCCTAGCTCCTTAAATCCTATTTGTTTTTTTGACTTTGCCTCGCTATTTAGTTTGCTGTATTTGAATTTTTTGTAGTTAATAACCAAACCAATCATCTGAATTAGTGTGTTTAGGATTTTTATTTCTCTTTCGTGTGATTGAATAAACGTGCATAATATTCCAGTTGACCTTCCTCGTGAAACATGACCCGGTGTTCGAATCTTTCGATTCTACTCTGGAAAAATATTTACAACAGACAACATGTGGTCAACGAAAACATGGCGAAGTTAGAGCTCATGGTGCATGATTTGGCGGAGAAGTTTGATCGGGCCACACGCCTAACATGGAGGAGCCGCACGTCGGGGTCAACCACAGCGCGATCGAGCAGTACCGAGGCTGACCGCGATGACGATGATGGGTGTTCACGGAGGACGCGTGCAACACGCGCATCGCACCACCGCGACGCTTGGCTCAGCCGAGCTACACAGTACTTCGAGATTAATGGCGTGCCAAGGAGCGAAAGAGTCAAGATAGCCGCCTATCATCTAGATGGTGAAGCTAATGTGTGGTGGCAGTGGATGTTGCACAACAAGGACGAACAAATGAGGTGGAGAGATTTCGAGAGGGAACTCATCACGAGGTTTGGATCTAGCGACTATTATGATTATGATGATGCTTTGTCGCGGATACGCCAAATCGGGAGCCTGCGCGACTACCAGAAGGAGTTCGAGAGGATTGCTAGTCGGGTGAGAGATTGGCCTGAGAGCACACTTGTTGGCGCGTTAGTTGGAGGCCTCAAGGCCGAGTTGGCGGCCGAGGTTAGATTGGATAGGCCACGCTCGACGAGGGCTGCGATTGAATCGGCGCGACTGCACGAGGATCACATCGCGGCGGTACGCAAGGCGGGCCAAGAGGAAGGGCGCACGGACGTGAGGCGCGCGAGCGCGGCGACCGACGAGCAGCCCCCACAGGCCGAGACCAAACCTGATACGGATAGCACGTGAGACCCGTTACATATATTGATCCAAGAACCAAACGTATAAATATGCAACGGAATCCCTGGTCGGAGATCTAGTTTGATCATACATAGAGCTTGAAAACCTCGACCCTTTAGCTATATAATCAGCTAAGAACCTCGGTATGGTGAACGCCACAAGATCTTGCTCAAGTATCTTGATAAGTTCTTAATACAATTGAAACTCTACAAAAGAGAATTCAATCTCACAAAAGTGATTTTTATAAATTCAGCAATATTCATTTTTTTTATTCAAAACATAAAATGGTATTTTTAAAGGCTACAAAAAGGTGCTGATGAGTTAATCCCCTTTTTGGGACTCATGATGAGTTAAATGAAGTGTGAATGACCTTTTGATTTCTAAGACAACTTAAGAGACATTTTAGTATAACAAATGCTGAAAATGGACAAAATAATGGACACTTCAATTGGGCTTCATGACATGGATGAAATTAAGTCTTCAATCCATGGATTAGTCTTCATGCAAACATTCTGGCCCATCTTCAATCGGTGTTCCTTACGTCTTTTCTTGAAATTCAACAATAAAACACTCAAGACTTCCTTCATTTTACTAGTCATTTCCCTTATGATCGGTTCCACATTTATTTTCAACAGACTCATCTTACTTTGAATGGAGAGCTTCGACCGAACCCCATCATTCCCTTATTCCTCAAAAGGATTCGTCCTCGAATCCAAAAGTATATGATTAGTACTCATTAGCACAACATCACATAGGACCACGTCGAACTTGGCGTCTTCTCCTTGTGGCCCTCATCGACCTCCACCACAACATCATCAATCTTGGCGTCCCAAATAAGAGGATCATCATACTCCAATGACTCCGGCACATCTTTGAACTCGTCTTCAAGTTCCTGCAGAAGAGACACAAAAACACTCGGCAAAGATGGGGTTAGCTCGTTAGTGTTCAAAATCGACTCCTTAAGCACTATCACTAACTCAATCTTCCTTTCAAAAATTTCTCTCTTCATCTCACTGGCTTTTGAATAGAAATTCAGACTTTTTTTCCCCTCAACCACACTTAGTTCTTTTCCCTCAATCTCAATCATTTCTTCTTTATTTTTCCCTCCAATCTTTTTTCTCTCAAAATTTTCCCCTCATTCTTTTCTTTCTTTTTCTCACTTTCTCTTATTTTTCTGGATTGAGACATTTGGAACTGATCTTCTTGCACTTGCTGTGGATTCAAAGAAACAAATTGAATGCTTTGGTTTCCATGCTTCAAACTGTAACGGTTAAGGAAACCATCATAAGTCACCCTTATATAAAATTGCCATGGTCTACCCATAAGGATATGGCTAGCATGCCTTGGCACTACATCACATAGCATCTCATCCTTGCAGTTGCCAATTGAAAATGACACCAACACTTGTTTCGTCACTCGAATCTCTCCACAATCATTAAGCCACTGCAGCTTGTATGGATTAGGGTGCTTCGTGGTTGGTAAATTCAGCTTCTCCACCATTTCACAACTAGCGACATTAGCACAATTCCCACCATCAATAATCAGCATGCAAACCTTCCCAAGAACTAAAGATCTCGTATGAAACATGTTCTCCCTTTGCTGTTTAGCATCCTCCACCTTGATTTGCATGTTTAGAGCTCTTCTCACAACCACAAGCTCACCATGTTCAGGTGTGGTCTCGACGGCTTGCTCGTCATCGCTGGATTCATGCTCACTTTCAGATTCTTCTACACCATTTTCCCTCAAAATCATGACTCTCTTGTCAATGCATTCGGATGCAATTTGGCCAAAGCCTTGACATCGAAAACATTTATATCACGGCTTTGAGATGATGATGCGACAACTTTTTTTTATCAACCATATGATCATTAGTTTTAGAAGTCCCATTTTGGGTTCTAGTAGCTATTCCAAAATTTATCTTTTGATTACCTTCTTTTTCCTTGCTCGATGGGTAAAGGTTCGATGAAAAACTTCTTTGAGATGATCCCTTCGTCCTTAGTTGTCTTTCCACTTTCATGGTTGTATGCACCATATCCTCGAGTTCTATGTAGTGCTGCAACTCCACAATGTTCGCAATGTCTCGATTCAGCCCACTCAGGAATTTCGCCAGAGTGGCCTCCCGATCTTCATCAACATTCGCTCTTATCATAGCGATCTCCATCTCCTTGAAATATTCATCCACCATTTTCGTTCTTTGCTACATAGTTTGGAGTTTTCAATACAAGTCACGAAAATAATGTGAAGGGACGAATCTTTTACGCATGATGGACTTCATTTCAGCCCAAGTAGAAATAGGCCTCTCACCGTATCGCCTTCGGTTAGTTGTTAAATGATCCCACCAAACAATAGCATAGTCAGTGAACTCAATCGCAGCAAGCTTCACTTTCTTCTCCTCCAAGTAGTTATGACACTCAAAAATGAGATCCGTCTTCTTTTCCCACTCCAAATATGCCTCCGGATCACTTCTTCCTTGGAATGTGGGAATATTCAGTTTTATGCTTCCCAAGTCACGATCTACTTCATTATCTCGCCTTCTTCTTCCTTCTCTATTGCCACGGTGTGGAGGCTCATAAACCTCCTCCTCCTCAGAATCAGGTTGATAAAATTGACGATTGTTGTGTCTCCTATGATCTTGTTGTTCCAACCTCTCCAAACGATCGGTAATGCTTTCGAGAACACCTCCAAGCCTTGCAAAATGTTGCTGCATTGCTTGAATGGTGAAGTCATTTCCCCCATTGGCTGAATTATCCTCCATTACTCAATTATCGCAAGTCACTCGTGTATCACTCAAAATAGCCCTCACAACACTCGTGTTTCACTCGTAGGCTTTTACCTTCCCTCAAATGAGCTTACACACTCTTGCCTTTTACCACTATGAGTCCTCTTTCGTAGGCTCAACCAACATAAAACCTATCAAGATCAATTTCATAGAACAATACAAGAACTATTTTTTTTTTAACTAACTGATTTTTCTCTCTCTCTTTTTTTTTAACAATCCTTGTAGAAAAATACAAGGAACTTTTTTTTTCATTTTTTTTAGTTCAAGTTTGATAAAAAGAAGATAGAAATCAGATTAATACCAAATTGCTCTGATACCAAAATCCGTCCGTTTTTTAAGAAAAACGGATTTTGGAAATCCGTTTTTTAAGAAAAACAGATTTCCAAAATCCGTCCGTTTGATTTTTGTCCACAATAATTTTTTTTCTTTTATTTTTCGGCACATATTTTTTTTTTTTTATTAAATAAGCTACCCAAGTAATTAGGCATTGCCATTTTATTAGTATAAGAAATTAAAATTTATCAATCCCTCTACACTACTATCAAGTCCTAAAGCAAAACTAATGTACCTACATCGATTATGTATCACACTGAATTTTTTTCCTCACTGTGGCATTCACATTCAAAGCATATCACTTCAAAAGACGAACTACACAAATTGCTCATTATCACAATAAAAAAAAAAGAAAAAAAAAAAAAAGAGACTTAGACTGAATGAAAGAAATCTTATTCATCAACCCAACTGCTAATCTTCCATGTCCCTGCAGGAAATATTTCCTGAACTTTTCTGTTGCTCGTGTTACTGTAAAGGTCTTTTCATCCAATCTGAAATACATCTGATATATCCTCAGTTATACATCTAATGCTGCACTGCGCACCAGACGGGTGTACATGCTGCAAATAAATAACCAATATAATTGTTGTGGTTACAGGGCAAAATTATGTAGAATTAAGTTTAAAGAAAATTTCAAGTGGTTCTGATATAGGAAAACCCATCAGCTCGTGATGAAAAGAGAGTGTGGCCTCGGAAAATAAGATAGACAAGAATTGATGTGTAAGAAGCTGCGACGAGGCAGACAACTACTCCCAACAGCAATCCATGAACTTCGGTTACAAAGAAGTCGACCAAAACATATCCATTCACAAGTATGACCAATACAGCCACGCCCCATGAAATCCTCTGCAGTAAAACACACACGGCTAATGGGTTGGATTTATGCCTACACAGTGGTACAAAAGAATCATAAAACCGAAACTAATGTACCTTGACAACCGTTCCAATCATAAAAGCGCCCATTATATGCTCATTTGACACCAAATGGAGAAGAGGGATGACCGCAAATGGGATTTGCATTGCCTGAAGGACATTTAGCCACTCATTCAGAACATCGAGCAACTCCTCGGATCTATTAAATGCAACAGCCACGATAACCGTAGGCAATATGGCACAACTCCTCGTGATCAATGACCTCACCCATTTCTTGATCTCAAGGTTGAGAAAACCACCCATAATAAACTGCCCGGCATAAGTACCTGTGATGGTCGAGCTCTGCCCGGCCGCGAAAAGCCCGATGGCCCAAATGTACAGAATTGGGAGCAGCCCGCCACCGTATCTCTTCTCAAGAAATTCACCAGCATTCACTAGCCCCAAACTATCGGCCCCCACACTTCTGTAAAATCCCTTTGCAAATACGGCAGTCACAAATAAATTGATCACAAACGAAACAAAAACGGCCATCACAGACTCTATCGTGTAGTAATTGAGAGCCTCTTGTACCCTGCCTTTCTTTTTCAAGTCAATTTTCCTCGACTGGACTAAGGCGGAGTATAGGAAGACGTTGTATGGGGTTATGACGCAGCCAATGACTCCGATGGCTTTTGGGATTGTCTCTGGACGGAGCTTGGGTATTACTATTCCTGGGGACATAATATTAATATTATTATTATCATCAAGGAACACTTTTTAAATACAATATGAAAAAAATAATAATAATCCAAAAACCTTCTATGAGATCTCTCCAACTAGGTTTCGTTTCGAAAAACATCCATGCAAATGAGAAAGCCATACTAGTGATGAGGACAGCGAAAAAAGCTTCAAGCTTTCTGATGCCATAGTTCTCGAGGAACAAGAACATGAAACTGTTAAAAGCATTGCATATATTAAAAAAGGAGAAGCATTAATTCGTCAATCATCCCCACAAAAACTCATTTGACCAGCGTTCGCATTTGAAATGCGACATAATCTATGTGATATAACGGAACAACTTAAGTTCAACACCTAGAACTAGTCAATTGAAAACAAAAACATAAGCTCATGACAAACCCAAGTGGACAAACAAGATAGTAAACAACAGCCTACATTAGGTGGCCATTAAAGTGGCCGAAATGTATCAACATGTTTGTAAGCAGGCAGAATTCTAACAGCTTGTTTATCAACTATTAGACATTTGAACCAAAGTCCTTGTAATCCAAAATGTCTAGAGATAGAAATCACTCTAAAATAAGTCATGTAAACTTTGTCCTAGTGTCTGGAGCTGGAGCAATGTATGGTAAGCAAAACCGAGATGAAGATACCAGAAGGGGTAAAGGGTAACTGAAACTTGCTCGATGTGTAAGTTGCAACTATACATGAATTTGATTTCGAGAATGGTTTAATATTAACAGAATGGTTTAATACAACTCAAACTTTTAGTTTATTTCATCAACTTAATCACACAAAATTCCCTTTGACTGTGGTTCAGAAACCTGGTTTAATAGGATTTTTAGTATCACCTGTCTTGCAAAATGTAGTAGTCAAGGGTGTAGCCAAGGGGAACTACACTGGGCCTAGGCTACCCCTAACATTGACTACTTTTATTGATTTTTCTGTTGATATAAAAAAATTATTTATATACATTGGCCAGAGGTTCTTATGGATATAAAATATTCGGTTATGACTGATCAGGTACAAATTTTTTTAACTTAAAATCAAACTCATAATTCATTGAACTCTACTCTTCTCAATGCTATCAATTTAATTAAATAATATCAATCAATCATCCTTACACATCATGTCAACTTTAATTTGATATTTATTCACTCACATAATTTCAAAAACACATCACTTTCAATTATTTTTATCATATTTTTATATCACATCAACTTTAATCATTATATTACAAGTATTATATAAATAAAAACTCAAAATCTAACTCAAACCAAACTCAATCAAATTTTTTTTCCCTTTATCTAATAAATATTATCAAATCTATCCAATCAGGCCCTTTTAGAGTCTGAAAACCCCATATACTGAGGGCTCGCTTTTGCTCCCCTATGGATATTATTTTAGTAAAGCAAACAACCACGCACTATCAAAATTATTTTCAGTACTAAGATGTAATTAAGTTTAATCCCAGCATAAACTTCTCTAAAGTATCCAATTTAAAAAAA